AAAAGAACACATTATTTTAGCTGGAGATGATATTACTAGGGAAATACATGAGAAAAATCTTCAAATACAGTCATTACATATAGGTGTATGTCTATTTTATATATATATTTATGATGGTTACTACAAAGAGGAGAAGATAACCTATTCACCATAAATATGGCAGAAAACTCAACAGTATGGATTTAAGTAGTACAAAAGAGGTTTAAGTTCAAAATTAGAAAAAAGATCTCTCTCACACTAAGGAGTACGAAGCACTTGAATTTTCTCCTGGGGAGGTTGTGGGATCTTCATCACTGGAAGTTGCAGGAACAGGTCTGATAAATATATAACAGACATTTTATATCTGTATATGTATATATCTGTGTGTCTATACAGATATATATCTATATCTAGCTCAGAGGGCTGAACTAGATAACCACGCTTGTTTTCATTTTCCTCTAATTCTGTGAATTACACTGAGGAAACCTAAAATCTCCCCCAAAACACCTGTACTGCTGCTCTCCACAGACCGCTGGCAGTAATCCTGACCAGCAGTTCCCCTCTTTTCTCTGTAGAATTGCTTTTGCGCCTCCTCAGCGCCTTCCTTCTCCACTTATCCACTCTCACAACTTGTTGACTTGAAAAGAGGACACTGCATTTCCAGGACTCCACAGCATTTCCCAGCTTTACGTACTGTGATTGCTGCTACCGCAGTCCACACTAACCATCTTGGTTATTTCCACATGCTCTGCTCTGTTGGTGGGCTGCAGTTCAGTGCTGTAAGTCATCCCTTAAGCATTTTAGTCTTCTTTGGGAAGAACACAATAACACACAGTATCCTTGCCACAGGAGGTCTACTCAAGCAGAAAAATACTCTTTAAAGAAAGAAAAAATCCTTTATTTTCCAAACCACCCTGGAACCACTAAGAAATCTCCTTTCTCAGAACTTCTCCAGCACGAGCCTACAAGTCACACCATTTCACTCAAGTGATGGTTCCTCTTGCCCTGGGCACACTGAGCGCTGTTGGTTTGCCCCTGCTTTTCACAACATAATTGTAACTGCTACAGTTGCCTCACTTTGACAGTTCAGTTGTTTTTAGCAGGAGCGCCCCTCAGCTGTGACAAGAAGTACATGCAAGTCAGACTTGTTTAGGCCTGATCCCCTGGCCTCTGCCAGTTCTCCCACAGCTGCTGAGGGAGAATTTCTGCCCTCCCAGGCCCTGCCGAACTGGGGCTCTGGTTCCAATTCAGCTGCTGTTCTCCTGCTTCAGGCTTGAATCTAGCCAGCCTCTCAGTGTGACCATCACAGCAGTTATAAAGCAGGCTTCCAGCGCTGCTCTTGCTGAAAACTCTTTATTTGGAATAGTCAGATGCTGAATTATCAGATGATAAAAAGCTTCAGAAAAATATATTGACCTAGGTAACCTTGCAAAAGAAGAGATTGATAGTCCTTTTAAAACATAACATAGCCTTTATCACCCTCCTCATACTGATATGCGATTGAAACCAGTCTAAAGAACAGAGAGCTCTGATGGAGCATACTCAGAGTAATGATGCCCCCATTAATACTCAAAAATAGTTGGTTGTCCAGGCCTGCTCCCACGATGGAAGGTTTCTATGGCTTGCTGTCTGAGAGGAAGTTCTGAGACATGGGCCTCGAGTCCCTTCCTTTCCGCCATTGCTTGGCCCCATGTTTTTTTCTCCTGTAGGTGGCTATAAACAGCTGAAGTTTTAATTTGAAATGCACTGCGTACACCCAAAGTGTGAATTTGTGCTCTTTATTATAACAGTAGAAGGGCTGGAAAAGGGTCCCCAGAAACCACCTGGTCCATCTCCATTCCCTCAAACAGAATCAACTGCACCATGTCCTTCCTGACTGCTGCTTGAACAACTAGCCATAAAAACCTCCTGGGATGGAGATTCCACACAGTCCTCAGGAAAATAGCTAACTTACAGTAAAGTATCCTTACAGTGAAGGTTTTCCTGATGTCTAACCTAAAGTTGTTTGTTGTAATTTAATTATTTCCCTTCTTAGAGTACATGAAAAATTAAAAAACCACCAAGCAGAATAACAGAGTTATAAAAATAACCCAAGATAGTAAAAACCTAGTAGAATATCCTCTGTGCGAATAGATTATTTTTACATAACTAATATAATGACCGAGTTGTTAGAAATGCATTCAGACAACACTTAACATGAGATTTGAACTACATGCAAAATACCTCAGGCCTAATATGTATAATTAATGCATACCAGATATTCATGATAAATCTCAGTATTGCTAAAGCAAGTAGCAATATGACAGTAATGTCTCAACCTGCTTCAGATGTTTGCAAGCGAATGTCTATGCTGACGTTGCTGATATGACCAACATCTCTCATAGTGCTCTACGGAGTCTTACAGCCACTTCCATGCCATGTGGTGCCAGACTTCACTTTTCCAGCAGTGTGCTTGCTAGCCAGGCTGCGTCTTATCAGAGCAACTTTTAGACACAGGCAAGGCAAGACAGGCTACATCCCTGTTGCTTCCAAAGTTGCACGTTTCTTCTCCTATAGGTCGTCCTAGAGTGGCTTCCCTGTAGCTGTGCCAAAGCTAGACCCGCTGGTCGTCTGCATCTGTCTGTCAAGTAATAAATATCCTCTTGGTAGACTAAAACTTGGGCTAAGAGTACTATTTCAGATCTTTCTCTCAGGAAGAAGCCTGCCTCAGGATGTCTTCACATGAGAGGGTCTAACTTGCTCCTGCTGTGAAACAAGCTCATGCAGGGCTGGGAAGGTATTCTTGCTATGGAGTTTGTCATGGCAAGAACAACAAAGAAAGTCTTTCTGCTTTCAATAGGCTACTCCACTCATATAGTATTGTTACTCCAAAGAGGAAATATGTTCAGGGGCAATGGTTTGATCTGAATACCTTCATGTTGTGCCAGTATGTACTTGATTTTATAGGTGAAGGTGACCATTTAAGTCACAAGCTACAAACCAGGGACATAAAAAGTTTAGTTCCCTGTCTGGCACATGTCATAACTGAGTAAGAAGTACCTCTTCTCTACATAAAGCAAAGTTTCTTTAGTTATAAATGTCTGCCTGTCCAGAAGAAGCCCTTTCAGTTTCATATGCCTTAAAATTCCTTCCTGTTCTTTGCACAGAATCATAGAATGGTTGAGGTTGGAAGGAACCTCTGGAGATCATCTAGTCTAACTCCCCTGCTCAAGCAGGGTCACCTAGAGCCCAGGTGCCAAGAACCCTGTCCAGATGGCTTTTGAACATTGGATGTCTCCAAGCATGGAGACTCCACAATATCTCTGGGTAACCCGTGCCAGTGCTTAGTTACCCTCACAGTAGAGCAGTTTTTCCTCAGGTTCAGATGAAACTGCCCATGTTTCAGTTTGTGCCCGTTGCCTCTTGTCCTATCACTGGGCACTGCTGAGAAAAGTCTGGCCCCGTCCTCTGGACAACCCCCCCTTCGGACACATATACCCATTGATAAGATCCCCCCTCAACCTTCTCTTCTCCAGGCTCAACAGTCCCAGCTCTCTCAGCCTTTCCTCGTATGAGAGATGCCCCAGTCACTTAATCATCTTAGTAGCCCTTCACTGGACTCACTCCAGTATGTCCATGTCTCTCTTGTACTGGGGAGCCCAGAACCGGACACAGTACTCCAGGTGTGGCCTCTCCAGGGCTGAATAGAGGGGCAGGATCACCTCCCTCGACCTGCTGGCAGTGTTGTTGTGACAGTGTGCTCCTCCCCCACTGATGTACTCTCTCCCCCGCCCCAACCTGACCTCTCCATAAACAGCACATAGGCAGGCGCTAATTGAGCATGTGCCAACTAAAATACGTCTAGTATGCAAATATGACTATGAGTCAATCATCTTACCCCATAAATAGGGGGCAGCCCAGAGCCCATTGAGCTCTCCTGCACAGCAGTGGGCTGCACAGCAGAATCTCCCCTTGAGCAGGGACACCTCTCAAGGTTACTTCTTGAGATCGAGAGATTCCTTACCCATGAGGTAAGGTGACTAATAGCGCACTGAAACTTTGCAAACTTTGTTAAGTTATATCTCTGATTGTGCACATCAATGCAATACTTAGACATAAACCATAGACCGAGTCTGGGACTAAGATTGGATCCAGCTGCACCCAGACTCCTCTGAGAAGGAGTTTGGAAAGCAGTGTGAATCTCATGACTCAACAGAAGGGTCTCCTTGACACTTTTATCTGACCCTGTCCTCCACACAGTAAATAACTGAGTGAACCTTGCCATCAACCCTTGTTAAATCACTGTCTTACTTACAGTTGAACTTTGTTAAATCACTATCTTACCTCAATAAAATATATTACTGCTTCTCTCTTACCAGTGAAGTGCATCACTCCTCACTCATCCGTGACAACTCTTCTTGATGCAACCCAGAATACCATTGGCCTTCTTGGCTACAAGGGCATGTTGCTGGCTCATGGCTAACTTGTTGTCCACCAGGACTACCAGGTCCTTATATACAAGGTAACATGCCAGTAGGCCCTGAACAAATCTATGGTTCATCTGATATTTCTGCGTTCTTTAAAAATCTCCTTTAGTTTGCAGTCAAAGCCCCATTTCAGAGGCTTTGTTTTGATGGAATAATTTGTAGAGAAGCAATTCATCACGCAATCTTTGTGGGAATAAGTCACCCGAGCTGGCATTCAGGACTACAGGAAAGAATCCAGGGTAACAGGCATCTTTGTAGAGAAAAATCTGCAAAAGCAGTTTCTTTCAAAGGAGAAATGTAATGCTCATGACGCTTGACCGTCTGTCGTCCTTCCCCCTGCAGATGCACAAATGTAGCACTACTAAAGACCTTTTACATGATTTTTTCCATGCTTACATCCACTGTGACATTTCCTGCACAGTGCAGGGCTGGAAGATGGACTGCCAAAGAGATTATTGTTGCAATCACTTTTTACAACGCTTTGGAAGAACTTACATGTTTTGCTTAGATATTTCATTAAGCAGAGATAAGAATCTTCTATTACATTTATTAATACATGTTTTATTGAGTTTAAAGTAAATAGCAAAACTATACATAAGAAGCAAGCTTATGCATACAGAGCAAGCTACAACATAGGTCAATGTTTTATAAGTATAATGTCTGGACTGTCTTAGCTCTATGTTTGCTTTAGCCCTCCACACCTTCCTACCACTTTCAGGTATTATGTTGTCATTTATTTTTCTGTCATAAGCTAGGCCTCCCTTTAAGGGGAATCTTGTTCAGTCTCATCTGAGGGAAACAATTTCCCACATTGTTTCCCTCTCCTTTCCCTCTAATAGAAGTGACTGTGATCAGCTGGATATCCTGCAAGTTCTTTCTTTTCAGTGTAGGAAATAACTGGATTATTGGATCCAAAATTTCCTCAGCTTTTCTGAGGCAGCAAAAGGAATCATTGAGGACAGTGGATAATAGAAATAATTAGATAAAAGGCAGCAACGTTTTGACTGATAATATTATGCAGGTAAACCCACTTCTACCCGTAATGTTTACACTGAAGCAAGGTGGGTACTAAGGAACTTATGTTATTTTTTCTTTGCACTATATTTTCAGCAACAGCAGTGAAGAGCTCAGAAGACTTGCATCAGCCTGCCCTGCGAAAAAGTTTTTAAGCTGGCCATTTAGTATTTTACTGCAGCATGTGCGCTCCAGATTTGAGACTCAGTAACAGTTGCAAATTTACCATACACAAAAAGAAGAAAAAAGTATTTTCCCCTTCCACCATTTGTATTTAAGACTCTGGGAAAATCCTGTCTAGAGCTGATTGTCAAGTATGAGGAAGACCTAAAAAAGACTCACTCCGGAGTGAGATAACTGTGGTGATGAGGCTCCTGAGAACTCCACCCTTGACAAGTCCTGTTGCTTCTAGTTTTTGTGACTGCACCACGATAATCTTTACCATTGCCAATAATGCATTCTGAACAGGGAGAGAAAAAGAAACAATGCTTTGCTGTAAAACATTGAGTAAAATTCCAATATAAATGGAAATAAACAGATGGAACTATTTAATTCCCTTCTGCTTACATAAAGAAGTTTTTTTGACCCGTGATATTCTGAGAAAAATAATATACTGAAGAACGTGTACAAAATATCAGTTCACAGACTTTGTTGCAGATGAATGTTATCAGCTGTCACATACACTGCAAATAAAAGACTCCATCATAATGTTTCTAATGCAGTTACTATTACTGACCCACTCCAAATTTAAAATGTAAGAAGTTTCTGCTTCTCACAGATATTGCTCCAGATTCTTTGCTATCACCAGTAGATTTTTTTTTTTTTGCAACTGAGTCACATTTTGAAGCTTTTCTCTTCAGCCACAAGAATTATAAATCATTTTTTAAAGCAAAGTTTAAATTCAGATAGTTCTCACTACTGCAAGAGGCAGGGCTCTGGATGTGTGCCTATTAGCAGCTATGTTACAAGCCCAAAGATTGCTCCTACAAGGTGTTGCACAGAGTACTTAGTACCTTGCTGGCTAAATATTTAGTCTTGTTCTACCTCTTTTCTTCAAAACACAACCGCCCATTGCAATGTTCTATTACATGTAAACCATAGCTTCTGTCAGTAAGGTTTTTAAATAGAAAAACAAGCCAAGTATAAGGGAAATAAAATCCCCAGCAGAGACACTAGTAATTTGCTGCCGATGAATGCAGAATGTTAGCTGCACCTGAGCAGAGAACAGAACTTATAAAAGACAACGTAGAGGTATGGCCCTACCCAGGCCCTTAGTTTGAAAGTAGACTCCTGAGATACAGCACCTAGTGTTCAACCTACACCTCACATACCTGTTTTCTGAACATATGAACAGACTTGAGAGATTTGAGGGAAGGTCTACTTTCACCGAGCATACAGGTTAAAGTCTTCTGTACAAAGGATATCTCCAATTACTAAGACAGCCTCTTTGTTTAAGTGGTCTGGAAACAAAATCTTCAAGCCAACTATTAACATCACACCTATATGTGCTGTCATAACTAATAGCTCTTTCAGTACTGTGATGATACAGTCTCAAAACCTCCCATTTAATTTCTTCTGTATCTCCTCTGTTAACATACACATTTGAATGCACAATCCTGGCCACTTAATTCTAAGAAATTGTTTGTAAACTAGAGGAAAGGTACCACTGCTTACCAAACTCTACTGTCATTTAGATTGATTTCAGTAGGTACCTCTTAATTTCACCCTCTTTAAATTCTAGAGGAGTCAAAGTTGTAGTTAAGTGGTTACCTGTTATGTTTGAACCAGTCATATTAGTGCCTGGGTCTAATGTTGAATAAGGTGGTTCAGGTGAAGCAAGGTGTCCTCCACAGTCACACTTTTGCAGGTTACAATATTCCCATCTCACAGTAGGAACAGTAGTGTAATACCAAGGGGCTATATCATTATCCGGGTTTCGACAATAGTTCTCTCTCAGATCCCTAGAAATATAAATGCAATGCATTTTGATTCATATATAACCCGACAAAAATGCATGGGAATATTTCACAGAATGGGTGATGTGTGCAAAATACAGAAATGGTACAAATTTGTTTCTTTGTTGCATATCACAGAACTCGGATCACTATCAAGTAGAAAGAAATAAGTAATTATTGATGTGGTATAAAGAGCAAGGTGTATATTGTACAACAACATAGCTGTCCGTTTCATTTTTGATAAAAGCTAATAATGTTTGTATCTGTTAGGCCTGGGACCTTACCGTAAGGATTAACAAGAAAGTTTTTTTTAGTGTCAGAAATTGAGAAAACAACAGAATTGTCCCTCCTAACTTTTAGGACCGGTGAACACATATGCATGTGAATTTGAGTGGGGATTGCTATCTAGGAATAGTTCTACTGAATTCAGTGAGCATTTCCTCATGTAAGTGCAAAGTGAAGGTTAGATGGGATAGTAAGGGAAATGGTCTTCCTCTACCTGAGAATCTTAAAGAGTTAAGATAATTTCTCCATCCTGAATCAGAAAAGCAACAAAATCTCCAGGAGTTTTATAAAAAGAAACTTTTCACAAAAATAATAATAGAGTTGATCAGAACAGTACGATTTGGGATGGGATAGAAAGAAGACATGAGCTGTGTGAATAGAGACAGAATGTGAATAGAGATTTATGTGGGAAGCAGTAAAGATACAATACAAGAATTTGTGAAGAAAATGACAGATGAGAGGACTCCAGCAGGATTACTGAAACTGATATATTGTGGATAGACTGAAAAGGACAGGAGTCAGCATTACAGAGCCTGGAAAGGAGATACTATTATTAGTTTCACCATTTTCATTCCAGTGCACAACTAAGGGTGGGCTTGTTAGCCAATGTGATGGCTTTACCATATAAAAATGGTCCATTCCACAGATAAATATCTAGGCTGTTGAATTCTTTCCCCAGTTACTCACTGAAGCAGCTTTAAAGGCTATTGCAGCTCCCTCAAATAGTAATAAAGAGACAGCTTTGTAAAGCAGGCAGATATTTTGCCACATGCCTTAATGACTATTCTTACATATGTTCTTGAAGAGTAACGGCAACTCTTAAATTCTTTAAGAGCAATTTCAAGGGATTTTTTTTATTTGCATTTAGTCCACAATTTAAATGATGTGGAAAAAAAGATCAAAAGGTCATTTTTAAAGCTTGGACAAATAATAAAGATTCTGATTGAGAAAAATAATAATGAAAAGCGTCATTTTCTTAACAAGGACATTCCCTTCTACTTTTAACTACTGTAAGACAACTGTGCGTAAAGTGAGAACAACTGGCTAATACAAGACAAAAATGCAAAATAAACATACGCTTTTGGGAAATTGTTTGCCGTTCTGTTGTGACGATGCGGCAGCACTGAGTTCCAAGCTTGGCATTTCTTTCCTGTGATAATAAAAGAAGTTGTTCCACGGTAATCCAGGCCTCTGTCTTGAAAGCACTGCTCTGGACTTGAAGACTGCCTTGGCATATCGCCATTTATAATGAACAACAGAAATCTGTCCCTTAATTTTGTTTATGTGCTTAAATTAAAAAAAAAAACCTTCATGACAGAGGTAAAAGTCAGAAAAATTAGATAGAATAGTAAGCAGTCGCAGGAATGTTTGAGAATAAAGACTAGAAGGCATCTGTAAGGGTGTCTGGAAAGCCTTCATGCACCAGATGGTACTTAACAAGGGCACTTGCATTTAAATTTCGCTTCTGCATACCACATTTGTTTGGAATAGGAAATCAAAAGGTACACATATAGATCTAAAATTTCTTCAGATTTAATTTTTCATAAGTTAGATTTAGGATTTAAATGTTTTAATGTTCAGGATTTAAAAAATGGTCCATTATTCTTTTGTTGCTTTTTTCTCCTTTCATTCCCATTTTCATTCCACCTCCCCAATAAATGCACTGAGATAGAGACAGACATTTTTCACCAGAAATCTTCGATCATTTTTATTTTTAATATCTTCTTGTTTTTACTTATATGTAAAAGGAAGACTAGAACTCTCTGATTTGTCAATCAGCAGACTTAAAACCTTTACTGTCAGTTCCCGTGAGACCAAAAGGTCCTACTTGCTACCCATGACTGAGTAAGCTTTGCAGCATGCCCACAAGATCAATAAACAAACCATATTGCTGAGCAATATTTTTTTTTGAGATTTTTACAACACAAATGATCATCTTCCACTATATTTTCAGTTTCTGTAGCACAGGTTATCCCGCCTTCTTACCAGTGATTTGTGATGCTATCTGTGGACATGGAGGAATGCTACAATACTGCCATCGTGTTGTGTTGTCAGTGGTATAGCACCAGGGCCTCTTCTTACCATCTGGGTTCCTACAGTAATTTTTATCTAAACCCCTGAAATGGAAACATTGACTGAAAACAACAGCATTCCGGAAATCTTACACAAAGCAGTAGAAAGCAGTAAACTATCTTCCTGACCTGTTTCATGTTTCATTTACTGGACAGTCATCACCATAGGTAAAACATTATCCTATGTTACATGTCCTTTTATTTCAATATACTACTGTTTTGGAAGTGGTCAACCAATCCAGCAATAAAGGTTCCATGGCTGAAGGCTATATGATGAGCTTTTCATGTTTGAAGTTTTCTCTTTTGTGCTCTCAGACCAGGAACAGCTCCATAAAGGCATGCATTAAAACATTCCTACTGTAAGGTCTGTATACTGGCAGCTGAGCAGTCCAGTAAGATTGGCTCATATTCAAAATTCTGACCAGTCTCAAATGGCTTTTGTGCTGGACCTATATGTAGATTCCTATATGTGGGAACATACTCTGATTTGGAGAGTGTATAAGCCCTTAGCAGACAGGAAAAGAAGCCGCAGAGCATCCCATTCTAGAAGTTAAGAGAACTGTCTCCTTCTCTCCCCTCTCTTATGTCTCAAAGCATATTGCTTATTAGAATAATATTGGCTAAAGTGAGATAGCACTGCAAGGAGAGAGAAATGGATATACCAAAGACAATGAAACACCAGTTTATCACAGAAGGCTACAAAGTACTCAATATATGATCTGTTCTTGTAGCTAAATAGGATACTGGTCTAGATGAAACTGGTGCAATCTGGTGTGCCATTCTCTTATATTTTCTCAACCTCTGCATCTTTGAACAGGTCTAGACCATTGGGTGCAGCTCAGAGCTTCCAATTCAAACTCCAAGCTGTTGTCCTTCTCTCCTGATCCCTGAGACCTTTAGTCTCTCAGTGACTCTATGTATGTCACACAGATGTGCGTGACAGCTCCAGTGTCACTTGCCAGTCCCACCAGCCCCTGCTACTTTGAATAGATGATTCCAGGCACATACTGCCCTTTCCCTTCACTTTCCTTCTGGACCAGAAACAGAAGAAATTTCCAGTGCCTCTGGGGAGATTTACTTGGTTAGATCCATTGCCCACAGAGTTAAGGTAACCAGCTGCCAGCCCCAGTCAGTTCTTTCCCTGTGTTCCCACACACACACCGCCTTAACCAATGGCTTGTTGCTCAATGGTATTGCGAGCAAAAAACCCTAACCAAACTCAATTTAGAGCATTTTAAAATCAGTGCTGCCTCTTTTAAAGCTGCGTGGCAAGTATACCTATATGATCCAAAAATAGGGGGTAATCAGAAGGTCTGAATTGACCACTACTGTTCCTGGAACACCCAGACCAACCATAGGACCACTTTGAACACTAGTTAGCCAGGAAGGAAACAGGATAGGCTGGAACGGAGAAAGGAGGAGCAGGAAAACGGTGAATGTCACTGAGAAAGGCTTAAGTACCTAATAATAAGCTGTCCAGACAAAAAGAATAATCTAGAAGAAAGAAAGAGCAGTATCAAAGGAAAGAGCTAAACAGGAGTAATAAGCAGAGTAGGGAAGAAGAGACCTGGCATCACATTCACAAATATTTTTACGAGGATCATTTTAGGATAAGTCTTTCTTGGTAATGGTACAGCCTATAACTACGGAAGGTGTTTCTTTTACTTGCAGGGATAGTTCTCGGGAGGTTGCCTATGTTTGTGAGGAAACTGAGTGCTCCAGCGCTGACAGGTATTGCCTGATTCAGTGATGGCTATCCTGTCGCGATAGTCTTTTCCATTCCCTGAAAGACACTGGTGGCCCAGTCCCAAAGTCAATGAGGGTGTAGCTGTGCCAGGAAAAAGAACAAAATAGAAACAATGCCTCAGGTATATGGATATATATATGGATGCCTCAGGATATATGGTTAAGCTTTGTATCATGCTGAACACACTCTTTTTTTTTTTATACAGAAGTGATATTGCTGGAAAGCTATGGCAAGACAAAAACATAGAGAACACATCCTTTTTAGCTTTGTGGAGGGGAGGAGAGAGGGAGCGACAACAAGGTAAACATTAGACTTCCTGAAGCGTGTTCTGTACTTCTCTTTACAGCTATCAGGCAGCAACATGACCACTCTGAACCCAACTCCACTGCACCAGTCTCAAAAGTAGAGTTGGAAAGTGAAAAAGTGGCATTACTGGAGTAGAGTTGGAAAGTGGGAAAGTGGCATTACTGGAAAGACAAAAGTCAGGTGGAAGAGCAAAGTTACAGACAGCTGGAAAGAGCAAGGGTAAGGCCCAAGGATAAGATATGAGGAGAGGCACTGCAGGGAAAAGAGAGGGAAAAGAAGAGAAAGATGAGGAGGATACTCAGAACAAGGAGTGAAAGGCTTTCAATACAAGTGAAACAGCCTAATAGCAAGAAGGAAAGAAGGAAGGAAGAAATCAAAAAGACTGAAGTGCTTACACAGGGATATGCAGTTGCTATCTATGATCCAAACTTCAAGACTACTTCTAGGGAAGCCAGAGAGCTAGATGCATTAGAAAGATACCGAACAGACAAGAGGTATGAAAAGAGTGAAAGTCTGCAGTTATTTATTTATTTTCCCTGAGGATGAAAATGAATGCATATTTTTCTTGCACTTATGATTTCACTTTGGGAAAAATGTGGTTCTAAAAATTTAATTTGTACCAAAAGTCTTGTTAAATTTTTAAAATCAGCAAGGTAACAGTTTCTTGAATTCAATTTCTTACTTTAGAGAAGCCTATAAGTAGTGATCTCCATTAGTTAGCATGTTTCTTCTTAAAGGCAGAAAAGAAGCATCACGAGGATATATGAGGATATGACTGAGGATCTAAGCATTAGTTTGTCCTTCAATATAAACACCCATTTTAAAGACAATATTCTTAGTTCTTCAAGGCCTGAGTTTGTCTTTCAGGATCCATCTTCACTAAGAAAAAGGCAAGAATTTATCCCATGTTGGCTAACACTAGGCAAAAAATCACCATGAGGCCAGGGTATTTCATGGATGTCCCTTGAGTTAGCAGGTTAGGTGGAAACTAAAACTTGGTGCTCCTGAGATTTAAGCCGACTGACGCCCTCCTCAGGTGTACCAAAAAATAAGGTTGTTGAAGAAAAATTCGGGTCTTCATGACTTCTCTGACAATGCTATACTTTGTAACACTTGTGTGACAACTTTGCCCTCACTAAACTAACACAACTTAACTTAACAGAAACTTAGTGAGTGATTTTTCTTGCTAATGTTTTTCTCACTAATGTTTTCCCACCAATATTTTCTCACACATGCTTCTCTTCTTTCCACTCCACATCCTTTTGATGGGAGCCCAGCAACTGCATGGAGCGACAGCTTGCCCCAGTAGAGCAATTGCTAGAAGTCAGACTCACTGCAGTGAGGAATGTCACAATATTCCCAGCGCTTAGTGGGGCTGGTAGTGAAACACCAAGGCTGAAGTTCGCCATCAGGGTTACGGCAATAATTCATCTTCAGAATTCATCTTCATCTTTCCTTCTCTGGAAAACTGAACATGAGAATGTAAGTTAAGCTTGTGAGTCAGCTATGGTTGGCTGTAGCAATCAGGCTGTCTGCAGGCAGGGTCTCCCAGGCACTGTGGGAATGAGTGGGACAATTCAGCACTGCCTGTGACTCACTTTTCCAAGGTATATCCATGCATATGAGGCTCTTGAGCATCCCAGTGCTGGCACTCAATCCCAGACTCTGTTCTGGAAACTTTTCCGTGGTAGTCTTCACCATTACACTGCATGCACTCCACTGTAGGGCCAAGGCAGAATGAAAACATGAGAGGCAGAAACTCAGTATAGAGCTGGCCCATGAACTCTCACACTTACCTGGCTATTAGCAGAAACATCCCTTCAAATTGCAAAACTAAAGAAAAGGGAAAAACATTGTAAAAATAAAACAATTTTTTTTCCTATCAGGTGACTGTTGTTAATCAATTACATAACATTTGCTTTTCTAAAATACATATTTTAAAAATAATAATATTGGAATTCTACAAATTTTTCTTTAGTATATATCAAAGGGGATTTCTAAGGAGTTCTTAGGGATCACTAACCTACTAGAGATGCTTCCTCTTCAGAATAGCTTCTTCTAAAGAACAGCAAGATTTTCCATGGGAACCATGGAATCCATAAATCACTAACACGCTTTCATCACATTCATCAGTGTGACCTTGATGATCCCAACTCTCTCGATTACTTTTTTCTCTCCTTGAACAGAATTCAAGAGTTGCATCTCTATTTTTTAATATTGCCAGGACAAAATATAGCAAAGCAAAAGAAGGAGGAGCCCTGCCCTAAGGAGAAGCCAAACCAAAATTCATTCCTCTATGCATGAATACTGGATACCCAAAATTTATCCACATTGTAACCTCATCCTCCTTATCTTAATCAAACTTTATCAAACAACAACACTTTAATGGCTGAGTTTTGCTCTATGTCTGCATCAGCAACTTTGGTTTTATCAATTAAAGTGCTATGTGTGATACACTCAAGTTGCCTTTTTCAAAAAAATTATGACCTTTCAGTTGCAGTTCCTTGGTATCTAAAAAATCATTTCACAATTTTAACATAATCCAGGAAACAGTCTCTATGATGAAAATTTTCACTTCAGGCTTTATTTAAATTTACAATTGGAGAAAATCCCCAATTCAAAATAAAACAAATATAGAAGATTCTGAATATTCTCACATGCTTAAATATATAGTACAAAAGAATATCAAAATCATTGCAGAGAATATAATGGGGAGAACGTAAGGAAGAAACATATATACTCTGACCTTCACATTCTGGAATGCTACAGTAATCTAATCTGGTAGCAGGATCTGTTGTGAAACACCATGGTCCATTTTCATTTCGATCAGGATTCCTGCAGTAGTTTTCTTCTAACCCTGCATGCGGGAAATTTTCAGGTGTAAAGCTGTAATTGAAGGATACATGCCATAACAAAAAAGGTGACATTTTCTTGTTTTTAAAATGTTTTGGACTCAGGGCACGCAACCTAAAAGCCAAGAAAATGGATACTCCTCCTGTGGAACTGAAGTTGGCATATTATTCTATAAGCTATCATTAGAAATCTCTCCATAGCTACTGGGATGCCACTGAAGAACCAACAGTCTCATGTCCACAGCTTACAGGAAATGTGATAGTCTCAAAGGACTACAGTGCTCATCAATACTTTTATGCAGCAGATGTGTTTGACTTTAATTGTCATATCTATTATTTCTAACCTACAAGGTGTGTAAGATTAATAGTGCACATAAGAACTGTGATATTTTCTTTGGAAGATACAGCAAGAGGACACTGACTAAGGAACAGAGAGTTTTCAGCAACATGAATGTCATGCTGTGTGAATCTACCTGGTGATCTTCTTGCATGCTTCTCATATAGCAATATTAAAATATTGTTAGGAGATAGACTCATGGATAGAATGATACTATTTCCGTTTCATTTTTCACCTACTATCTCTTACCTATAAAAGGAAATCCTGGCCCCTTTTAAGTTAAGGATGAAATTGTCATTCACGTTAGTTTTTCCAAGTGAGTGTATTCCTTGAACAAGGACCACAAAAATTGGTAGCATATAATAACACTGGAATCACAGTGAGACAAGTTACACACTGTCTTAAAAGCATATCTGTCTTTTTTTTTTTTGGTAAGATCTAAAACTGAGAGTGATAGATATAAGGAGGAAATTATTCATTACAAATTAAACTCAGCAGTATCTGTCTGACAATCTATGGTGTAAAACTGCTTAAAGTATACTATTTATGGATAGTTTAGAAAAAATCAATCATAATATTTAGAGGTACTTACAGAGGTTTCAGTCCAGCTCCTGGTCAAAACAGGGCTGACTGCTAAGCCAGATGAGGTTGCTCAAGACCATATCCAGTTGAATTCTGAGTATCTCCAGGGACAGAGACTCCATAGATTCCCTGGTAACCTGTTTGATTGTTTAATCACCTCCATTAGAAACAATTTTTTTCGGACATGTAGTCAGAATTAAGTAGTGTAATCCTTCTATCTAAATTAGAAAGTGACAAGAGGAAAACATGCATGTAATTTGCATTAAGGACATGAGAAGTTACCAGGAAGTTATTATGCACTGTAAATCCAGACCCAAATTTACCGCTAAATAGCATCTTTATATCATTTCCAAACTTTCTTCTGTCTTGGAAAATGTTGTTTCTTGCCTAGACTATGTACTGACTAGACTAGATTACCTGCAGAATCTAAAGTAATGTTTTCCTTGGGTATTTTGTTATGAGAAGCCTTTATATTTATATCAACGTTGGCTAGATCATGTTAATTGAGCCTGGCTTAAGCTCAACTTTTTGCCTTGTCTGGACAAAGTTATAAACACTGTATAACGTCTATGGTTGCTTTTTTAAAAGGAGACTAAGAATATCTTGTTCAATACATATGGATGAATGCACAGGTGGGAAATCCTCCCACACTGCAGAACTAATCTGATTCTTGAAGCATTTTTTTTAAGATAGCATACCCTCTCTGAAACGTATGCTCTTCATCTCATTTCCTACACCCAAGCACTCATTCATTCTTCCGTTGTTTTAAGATATTTATATACATGGCACAAGGCCCAAGTGACTTTGCCTAAACAGGTAGTATTGGACAAAGCAGATACCAAGGAGCGAACAAAAGGTATAAGCAATTTGTAAAAGGCAAATATGTGTTCTGAATATTTCTTCAGAAACTTTGGACCCATTCTGAGACCTCTTCCCCAACTGCAGAAGAGCTACTCAAGTTCTTTGTCTTCTCCTGGCCTGAAAAGAAAGGGTGGGATCAAAAAGCAGAGACTTCTATGATCCTTTCTGGTTGTATCCCCTAAAAAAAAAAAAAGTACTACTTCTCCCTGATGTTAGGTTTTCAACCTTTTTGAAAACGATTGCCCGTTATAAAATGCTTCAGAAACTGTAGCAAGTTATTGCTGCCTTGAATTAAACTGATGTATAGAGAAACATATGGCCAGAAAGAATCTAAAAAGTTCATCTCTTTCAAAAAAGCATCCTCTGCATGTGTTAATGGTGTTAACTTCATTAATTCAAATGCAAGGCAAAAAAATCTTACCATAGCACAGAAATGCGAGGGAGAGAAAGATGGCTTTGCTAATCTCCATTTTGGCCCAGCAGGCTCGTGCCGGAAGTTGTGTGTGTTCGTGCACAAAATTTTATCAATTCCCGCTGGAATTATGCATCAACCAGCAAATGTGGTGAAAGCAGTTTATCATTTCCTCAGTTTCAATCTCCTTTTTAAATCTCCAAACGTTACCATGAATGTAAGAGGTTACAAAATAATACTCACATGTTGGTACTGGCTGCTGGGAAAGGTGAAGGCACTCTCGTTTTACTAAACACCTGTTACTCTGACATGGTTACGCCTCATTTTATTTAACTAAGGACAATATTGGTGAAAATCACGGACAACATCTCCGAACGGAATCCCAGTCTCTGCATGTTTAACTCCAATAGTCCATGCTAACTTCAGTCACATTGCCGCACGGATTAAGAAGACATCTTTCCTGATTTACATCACTGCAGGCAGAGGCTGAAATTAGCACAGATAACATTAGCTGCCTCCAACCATTGTAGAGTTTCTGTGAAAGAAGAAACCCTTTTCTCACTTATTCCCTCAATGAGCTCTTGAGCTGGGTTTTGTTACTGTTGGCTTGGACAAAAAGGCTTGTGAGACTTTGGTTGGTTCCATCTAGTTATTTCAGGTTACTCCCACTCTTCCAAAGGTTGAGCCTTACACATAGCATTCTTAGAAATGTCTCTGTCAGAGCCTCAAATTAAGATGAACCTTTAATATGTCAAAAGGCATGCTAGCAAACAGTAGAGGAAAAAGGGGAGAAGATAGAAATGTAGGCTGATCTCTTAAGCTGCTGATTACAGTCTTGCAAACTAGCTGAACTCAACCTACTTGAATATTCCTGGTATGAGGCAGTTGCATACAAGCTGTAAAGGCCAAATGTCCTTGAATCTTACACATGCAATTACCTAATCATAAAGCCAGACCTCTTCGCCCATGTTGCAGCCTGATTTTAACAGCAATTCAATTTGCCTTACTCAGACACCCCTTCCTTTGGAAAAAAATGTATTTGCAGCAGTGTTCTCAGTCAGGTTAAGAAACAGAGGATCATAATCAAGGAATAATAGATTTAAACAGGCAAGGCTTACTCTCTGGAGTCTACAAGAGAAAGGGTTATATACAATATAAGAAACGCAGGATTATAAAGGACCTTCGATCTAGTTCCCTGCAATTGGAGATCTGCACTTTACCCTCACACACAAAAATTATGTTGTTTGCTCATCCCCTACACATTACTCCTACAGGAAGGATGTTCTTCATCCTCATTGCTCTAACATTGTGGTAAAGAGGCATGAAAGTGCAAATATGCAAGAGCAAGGACTGGTGTAAATTGGGAAGGAGTCGGATAAACTATCATTTGCGAGACTGTGAAATCTCACATAATTTAGAGTGAATTCTGTCTGACATAAATTTCTCTAGTAGGATCTCCTAACAGTAGGTTTGTTTGACTTTCTGTTTGGTTGGTTGGTTTTTGAATCAAAAACTATTTCAAAATATCTGGCAAAGCCTAGTAGTGCACAAAGTCTCACTAGAGGCAGACGCTGCTTGGAGTCCCAGTGCCCTTTTAAAACAAGACTTTCATTTGTGGAAATTCTTAGCTCTACAGACAGAAATGAAATGCTTAAGCCCAAGGAAGTGGTCGTCAACTGAAGAGAGAAGCGGTTATACTCAACACAGCTGGAAAAAAACAGCTAAATAGAGGGCTAGAAAGCAGTACATAAGGATTCAGTTGTCCTTTGGCTGACAGTGTATAGCTGTTGTGCAATTGTGCCTGATGCACTGCAATTTCAAGAAAGAAGGGCTGAAAGCACTGTAAACTGCACAACAGCCCTGGCATTTGACCTCTTGATGTTAAATTTCTTTATCAATCGGACTCTCTAGCACTTACACTGTCCACTGACAAGTTGTATGACGGAATAATTAAAATCGACTCAAAGCTGGGCTCATAGGACTTATGTAGCTACAGTTGCTCTGATGTAGGGCAGAGGGATAGAACAGACAATCCTATTTTTCTCTGAAATGCTCTAGTACCTTGGATCTGAGCTCTTTGTACTCCCAACAGTCCAGGAAGTTGTGTCACCCAGTACTTGGAACAAGGGTGGGGCAGACTCCACCACTAGCTCCGAAACAGATATCCCTGTGTCTTGGGTCACTTCTCCATGTCTCTTTTCCTGTTCCAGTCTGAAGTTTAAATTTCAAAGTTTGAACCTCTGAAGAACCTTCCTGAACAAGTTTCAAGAAGCACAGTTCAATAATTTAAAACTCTCTGATAATATGAATATTTTATTCTACAAACGAATTTTGTCATTTTAAAATGTTTTGCCTCTTTTGCACTGAGAATATACCAAGCGTTCTCAAATACTTTAGCTATTCAAACATTTACAGCATTACTGGATATCGGGTAAATTAAATGAGCATAAATATAAGGTACATCCTGTGGACTTCAGCTTTGGAAAAAGGTCAGACAAAATGAGATTTTTTTTCCTGCAAGTAAAATAAGATTTTTTAATAATAAGATTTTTTTACTGAGTTGAAACAGTAAATCCGGGGGTTAGTACATGGAAAAAGCAATGCAAACATGAAGAGGAGGATGCTGGCTTGTTTTCTGTAGCTGAGATGGAACAGAATGTGGAGAATTCGTAAGCTTTTTAAGGATAGCGATAGGAATTTTATTTCCTGTAACTGTAAACTAGAGAATAGCCTTGAATTAATATAATAAACTAATAAGTATGCAGATATCTTACCAAAAGTGTAGGAGAAGATTCCACTGGTAAGCATTTAAATTGTATTTTCGAACTGAAAATCAGAAGATGGAATCTGGAATGAGAGAGCTGTTTAAAACACAGAAATTTAGGGTTGCTGAAAGGAAAATACCTAAAAGCTTTCAACAGTCCAAATTTTGAGTTTTGCCTCAAAAGACTCAGATGCTCTTGGCTGAGTAGGAGCTTCTACCTACAGAAGGAAGAAGAATCCTTCAGACACAGTACAGCGGAAAACAACCAATAATGCCTCACAAAGTAGATTACTGAGGTAAAAATCTCTCTCATGTTCTGCAAAAATGTTACCAAAGAATAATAGGATACTGGGAAGAATTTGGAAGGAAGGGGTGTATAGTCCAGCAAGGACTTCCTGAAAGGGAAATTTATACTGAAACTCAGTACCCCAGCTTAGAAGCAGGTCAAATGGCAGCACCATTCTTGGGGAAGACACAGGAAAACCTTACGGTGTCTTGTTCCTACGGGAAAAGAATTGCAGAATGGAATTCAACTTAGTTAACTTAAGATAAAGGTAAGATACAAGGCAAATGCTGATGTCTAACTAGTCTATGACAAATTAGTCACCCCTCAGATTCCCTTTTCAATCAACGGAGAGATACGTATTTTGGAAACAGTTCATCTGACTAAATATATATGTCTACTCCAGGATGAGTCACATCCTGGGAACTGTCATTTCTCTCATTGACTACAAAAGGAACTTAGTGCAATGAATGTAGCACTAGACATCTATACTGTAGATCTCTGCATTTAATCAGATAAATCCACCTACAGTGTACACAGTTACATTGAGAAAGTGCTTACTTCACTTCCATCTGCTCTCAAGAATGTGCTGAGCAAGTGCTCTTTCCATGCGGACATGCTCACCATTAATGGTGAAAACAAATGGGAAAAACAAAGAACATTCGGGCCTTTTTATTTACCATTTTTTGCTGCTGAGAGACCACAAGGAATAAATGATCTGTCATCAAGTTCCACATATGCTTGTAGTCAGGGGGCTGTGACCACACACCTCTTTGGACACAGTAGTCAAGCAGCCTCTTCTGCCACAGTGCAAGCTTTTATATATGACCGTAGACTCTTCTGTGGGCTGTCTTTCTATCTTTATTGGCCTTTCTTCTCTCTCATTGCTAAGCAGCCTAACCCTTCAGCCACTCCATTAAGATATGAGGGGATGAATACTGACAACCTGGTGGCAGAATTTAGCTGAGAGAACAAAAAGCAAAGTACCTTCCCTTCCCTGGAAAAGGAAGAAACTCTGAGGAACAGTTTTCTACAATAGTGCAGAGAGATTTTGCATTCTAGGCAGGAGTCATTCAAATGCCTAGGAAAACCTCCAGCAATCTATAGGTTCTCCTAAAGCTTCGGCATTTTGATATTTTATTTAAATAGGACTGTGCATGTCCGTGATGCTTTTTGTGACGAACTTTGTGGGATTGTGGTGCCTGCTATTAGTTATGATGATTGCCACATCTAAGAAGCTTTGTTACACAGACTTCTTACACAGGAAGTACAATTGATATAGCAAGCATGTATGCAATTTTCCATGCTGGTGGCTGTCATATACACATTGACAATACTTCCCCATCTTCCATATTACTTATACATCCATGTTTTAAGTTTATCACTGAGAACTTTATTCTTTTTATTATTTAGTTAATATTGTCATATCATTAACTGGTTAGACTATCTTTCCACCGCAAAAACAAAATAAACATGCTAGAAGGGCAGACACACAAACGACTACTACATTTTACTCTCTGCGTACACCAGTGAGATCATCAAGGCCCTACTCAAGGGCCTTAGTCAAGGGGAGTTGTCACAGGCTTCAGTGAAGTTAGAATTTAATCCTCAGCAAGACGGTACTAGTAGCTGAGTGGACTTTAAAATGTACATGCGTCAAGGAAAGAAACAGAACAATACCTGGTATATTTGCAATACAATCTCAAAATTCTCAATTCACAGTAATGTAACTGTTTTTACACTTTTACTAAACCATTATTATGTGTCGCTTAACATAAAGATTGCACTTTCTCAAGAAAATATCTGCTACTTGAGGCATGGCACCTAAGTCTAAACACATGCACACTTGTAAAATGTAAGTTAGTCCACTGGGATCTCTCAGTCATTACCATCCATCATGTGTTTTCTAAAAGAGAAGCATAGTGCATGCTGCTGTTATTAAGAATATGTATGCTGTTATTAAAACTGCTAGTGCATTACTGATAAAGAATTCCTTTTTTTGATCTTAAGTAGTAAGGTTGGAATTTGAACAGTTGATTTGCAAAAATAACTGAAAACTGACTGATACAAATGTAGTCAGCATTTTTAAATTACTCCTATGACTTCAGATTTTACGAGGCTGCATGACTGTGTGCAAGCTTTATAATCTGCTTCACATTTACCTACCTTCCTTCTCTGCAGCTAGAAGACCCAGGTCCCCTGCAGTATCTCAGTTTCTCTTCTCAGCATTGCTCTCTCAGATGTTTCCTCTAGGTGCCTTCAAGAGGCATCAGCATCTTATTCTAGCACAGGTGTCTTTCCCACTGTCAAGATATTATAATGAGCTGGGACTCCATAATTAACCTCGTATGAATCTTTAATAAGCAAAATCCAGGAGCTTCAATAACCCAGCTAACTATTTATCATTACTGGTTACATGTTGCATTTGCCTCCTCCCCTAATGCTTCTGAGATACATTTCTTCAGCAGATATCCTAGAAGCACGCGCAGAAGAGTTTTATGAACGCCAGCGCCTGAAGCACTGCATCATTGTATAGCTTTTTAAAAAATTTTATTTAAATAATTTATCTTGGGGAGTCCAACACAGCTTTTGTGAGCTGAGAGAAGTGCAAGGAAATCCAGAAAGAGAAGTACAAATTTCCCATTTCCCAGAATTAAGATGGACAGATTTGTTCTTGGCTATGAGAGGCAGATGGTTCAGTATGACCTACATTTTGTCAGCCAGCAGTTTCACCTGTCATTCCCAGATAACAAGTCTCTCCTTCCAAATTTTGGCAGGATTTATCATCAAAAGTTAGAGTGTTAATTTTTTTTCCACTGAATCCACAGCTATGTCCCATGGACGTCAAAATTTTCCAAACGCTGGGGCTCCCACACTCCCTTCTTCCCTCAGGTTTTCATCAAGTGAGCTTGCTAATAACCTTTTGCTACGTACAAGGTCATTAAACAACCAGTTTTAGCCACAGAGTAGGCAACTGCTTTGGACAGCAGGTGTCACAAAGTCATGGCCTCGAACCCACAAGAGAAAGGAGAGAGACTCACTCAGCCATGGCTAGTCCCGGAGGAATTCTTCCAAGATAACATGTTCCCTAGGGAGCTCTGGGCCCCAAGATTGCCTGTAAGCAAGTGAGCCATGATCATGATTTCTGCCTCTCTCTCTCCTCCTTTTCCCCCAGCTTACCAGATTATGCTGCTCCAGAGTGGCCAGACACATGTGCTCAGCTGCGACAAGGTCAACACAGCCAATAAACCATTGCTGCCAGGAACTGGAGCTATTGTTTGGGTACCATGGCATTCTGAAGGATCATTGCCGCTGCAAGACTAAGTTTACTTATACACAGCAATTCATTTTATCCTCATCTCTGAGGTGGACAAATTCAGTTTATCTATGTTTCAAGATGTCTTGAACCAGATAGTCATGTATAGGACACCTATCTCAGCTGTTCTTTTTATCTATTCTTTTACTCTAGGTAAAAGGTACATGCTAAACTGAGAAATGACATACATCTGTATGAAATCCTCACAACACCTCTTTCAATAATGAAGCCAGAGGACGAAAAGATAAAATCCAAGGTACATTTTTTTCCAGTGGAAGCATACACACACGGACATGTTCATGTCTTTTCCATAGCAAGCAGCATGGGAAGTCTATATGGGGTGAGAACATCTTCTTTCAAAGAAACAGGAGATCTCACTATTTAAGGTTGCACAAGTACTGCATTAGCACAGATACCACTCACTTCCATTGATACTCTTTAATTTCAACAGTCATACCCTTTTCTTACTTACAGCACTTCAATATCAAGCTCAATGTATCTGTTGCTGATCACTGAAGTACAGTTTAAGAATGTGTAACAGCAGTGTAAATCTCTTCCTTCTCCACAAACTACTTTCATTTCCTGGAGGTGAAAGCAAAAATGAGAATAAAGTACATACACTTTCAATGTGCCTTCCAATTGGTGTGCCTACAATTTATAATATTATACCGTGGTTGCAATTAACTGAGCATTATATAACAAACATGTGAGCCAGTTTTCTGTTCTTAGGCAGCAAAAAGACATGAAGTGTAAGTAAAGATGTGATCTGAAATCATATATCAATTCTGGCACAAGACAGTACAGAAGCATTTCTTGCCACTGAATTTCATTTGGTCTTCAGATCAGTCAGAAGGATGGAGGATAAAGCAGGCATGGAAAGCATGGAGACTGAATTTTTGCTGATCCAACCCATCCTTTGATCTTACTACATTTCTGTTTAAGTTTTCTAAAAAACTATGTGCTATTCTGAGCATGACTGACAGCGCTGCTTATGATATTTTACTTGGAAATAAGATATAACAACATAAGATTCAGAACAATAAAGATGCTAACAACTACACTGTTGCACACAGGCAGGAGGTATTTGCTTATTAACTGAGTTAATTTACAACTACTTTGCTATTTCCTTGCCCATTCCACTGAGCTAATATATATGGAAACTTGATTCCAGGCCCTCCTCTTTTTCCTCTACTTCTTTCTCCCTTCTAGAAATAATGAGAAGGATGAGAGAGGAAAAGGAAAAATGATTCAAGATTGAAATGTCAGTGCTGATGGAAAGAGAAGAGAGATGTGCCATGGAGAAGTTACATATGAAGCCCTGAGAGAGACTTTCAGACACAGCTATTTTCATTTACAGAGTCTCAGAAATGCTGCAGAGAACTGTAACCATCATTTCCAGAGCTGGACTACTCACATAAAACTAATAGTGTCCTGCTAATCCAAGCTAGCCTTCAACAATAAACTAAATGGCAATAGCAAGAAAGATAAAGTGCAGAAAATTCAAGGACTTGTATCTTGCAGTTTGGAAGCCATATAACTAAATCACTGACACTCTTTCTCTCCCTAGGAAAATAATGGATTGTTAAAATGAGAAATGCTCAGAACAGCTTTGTATTAAATCCATCCTCACCTGGAAGGTGCAAAACTTTGACCTATGCTATGAAAATGCTATAAAGTACTATGAAAAAGTCAGGCCAAAAATAAAACTTTCACGCAAGTTTGAACCAGAAGGTGCCGGTACCTAGGCCAAGTTCCCACCAAAGAGAAAAGGTGCATTAGAATTTTATTTAATATGCAAACACATTTTAGGAAAAAAAGGATTTTAATTAAATGACATGTATTTGAGGGTCTCAAACTAATTTTATCAATTCTTAAAACTGTCTGAAAAAATCTGACTCTATAAAGATCCCAACAATAATAGCAAATTGAAAACATGAAGCATATAATCAGGCATATAACAGAGAAAGAGGTAGATTCAAAAAAGTTTATCAGTAGAAGAAATTATTCAGTTTTGTTTTACTAACTTTGAACACACATGTATATGCTTTTTGTTAGGCGTTGCCAAATTCGGTAGCCTGATAGAGGTGAAGCTGCTGTAGTTCCATATTCCCAGATCCAGCCAGTAATGACACTGAACATGTATTCCCAATAGGTGCCCTCCCCTAAATAACCACCTACCTACCTATCTGCATACATACAATACATACATGCATATATATATGCATATATATACACATGTATAATATGTATGTAGGTATGTATATATATGGCTGGCCACACAGATCAACACAGACAGTAAACACAGCACTCGTGCAAACATAAACAACGCTATTGGCCTCATCCTGCTTGCCTCTCTGGCTGATCAGGATGGAAGCCCATCAGTGGAAAATGTACATATACATTTACGCACATATATACATACACACACACACACACACACACACACATACACACACACACACGCAAAATTTGGATCCCTCAGTAACTAACCCTAGATACTCAGTCTACCCAGAAAGTAGCCCTTCGATCCCCAGGTCTTGCCAGCTGATGGCATCTGGGCAACAAATCCCAAGGGTGTAGTCATTTGATCTGCTCAAACGACATAGCTGTTTATTTAAAACAAAGGCCACTCTCCAGTCCCCTTTATGTTGAGATAAAGTCAATTTTCTGTGCCACAGCTGTGGTTAATGACTCACACCCTACATTATTCCTGAGCTTCATGGGCACCTCGCTCTTGCCCATCTCCTCTGAGTCTTCTTCCAGTGTAGGGGTTTATTGGTCAGTCACATTGACTGACCAGCTTGATATGTGCTAGCAATCACACACCCACACACAATATGCATGCCCTCTGGTCTCTCCAATTGCTGGCACCCCAGACACATGGGCTCTTATGCCCCACAGCCGAGCTGCAGTTGTTTGCATGTAGATCTCTGTATACACACCTGTACATAGAATAGAGAGGCCCTCATGCAGGAAAATAGTGAGAAATTGAGTTTAATGAGAAGGCAGGCCAGACTGCACTGATTAGGTGCAGAGATCTCTAATAACTGTGGGACTGATGGCTCTCCTGGGAGAGTCCCCAGGAGGAGCCAGGGCAGGGGCTCCTTTCCTCTGCGTAGGTTACTGGGATTCCCCACCTGCCATTGTGTCTCTGTGCTCCTTTGTGTTGGTAGGGATGAGCCTTTTGTTACATAACCTAACTCTTCTATGCATTGCTAAGGAGACCACCTAAGAGATTAATCAGAATAGTCTGACTATAGGTAGTTTCTCCACTCTGTTTATCCAAAGACCATAGACCTGAAGCCAGCAGCAAGATACTACTTCCAATAGCCTCAGCAGACTTCCAGTCAGGCCTTTCATTATTTAGTGTGTTTATTTTAGAATTGAGTTACAGAATCTTGAAGGAAAAGAGTGTAGGAAACACCAAAGGAAATGATAGGCAAGTAAATGGAAAATTAGACACACAGCTTCCATTTTAAACTTGGTTTATTAGGGGAGGAAAACTGATTTCAGTACGCAACTGTAGATGTTCTTGGGCTGATTTGTTAGGTAGCCACTAGCAGGTCATGTTAGCCATGACATATGAGTAACTACACATCACAATTCCATCATATACACATACACAGGTTACTCCCTTTGCTACTTTGCATTTTTTTCCTCTGATACCTGATGTTTCACAGTTCTCTACTGAGAAAAATACTGCAATGACTGTGAAAAAGGAGTAGGATAACAGTCTCGGGGAGTGATGTAATAGACAGTAGGTACAGCGTTCGCAGTATCACAGTATTCAGTTGTTTTCCAAAGCGAATGCATTTGCTAACATTGATTCTGTTTCTGCTATTACTGCACTGTTTCTTACTCCTTGCCATTCTACCCAAGCCAGTGGACCCCAGCATACATTCAGCACAGCGCAACGGCACAGAAGCCATTACATTTAGAGAAAGTAGAAAAGCTTTCTTTAAACTTTTGCATTTTGCTTTCTTTAGATTTTACTCTTGCCTAGGTTTTTCAATGATTTATTTTGATAGCTCTTTTTTATTTTGATAGCTCTTTTTTTGTTTTGTTATACAAGATGCCACATTCAAAACAGTTCTCTCTCATTAACTTTCATCATGATTAGCATTACTATGAGATCTCCCAGCTACGATCTGGACCCAAGGCTTAGTGCCATACAGATGACCACGCAACCTCCATGCTGCCTCCCTTTCCACTTCAGTTGGAAGGAGAAGGGAGATCTCTGCAGACAGGAGGAGGAAGAAAGCAGCTGCTGCCCTCTGCAGGCACCCCCAAACTGAGAGCCTGCAGGAGACAGCGGCCACAGGCTGGGGAATGGCATCCTAAATCCTGAACACTTAATCAAAGTGTATGACCCACTTTGGGTATAGCAGCGCTCAAGTTCCCTGTGAGTAAAATGAGGGTGACAACACATGCCTGTCTCCTTCCTCATGTTGCTGGTAGTGATTCTGGGCTTGAGTCTGTGCTTGTTAACAGCTTTAAAAATGAAAAGCATTCCTTACATGCTAAATGTTACGGTTATGTAAGTTATGAACAAGCCTCAAGACATATTACTACTGAAAGCTTTTGGTTCAGAAAAGTCAGCTGTTACCTAATGGAAAACTGCCCTAAAATCCTTACCCCAGCCAAGGGATTGTAATACAGGTTGTACCTATTGGTGCACATGGAGCTGAGTAATTTTCCTAGTTTGAAGAAACTATGCCTTTGACAACTGGGGTGGGAGGGTGGTATCTTAAATACCTAGCTTGCATAATATTATCCAGGTTACTGTAGGACTGAGTTTAATTTATCTAAAAATAACAGAATCTCTGTGTTGTCAGTAGAATGTGAGCTCTCCTCTTCTGGTCAAGAAATGTGATTTTCTAGTTGTTCATGACTTCCTAATCTATGAAGCCCCAATGGTGTGGTGCATTTGAGGAGGTGTTTTAGGCTAGAATAGGCTAGGACTTGTTTCTTAGGGGAAATTAGGCTACACTTTTGCTTCTCTCTTTTTTTGTGCCCTGGTATTTGGGCACTATATTTGTTATCCTACAGGTGAGAATAAGCAATTAGACTGGACCATCTGAAAATTTCACTGTATCCTCTGTATCTCAGAGAAATTGGTTTAAGTGCCTAAAAACTGAATTCCTACCTAATGTACAGGTACTAACACAAAGCTAATAGACCAAGCATATTACAATGCAGTAAGAACTTAATATTTTCTGTATTTTAAGAGCAGCACACTTGCAAGAACAACCAAATAAATCCAATGTGATTGTTTACTGCAGCTTTTCTGGGTTTTGCATCTAATATGTGCAAATTTGAAAATTCAGAGACATATGAGCAAAATACACAAAATCATTCTATATCCACAAAAACATTTAAAACACATTTTGCCTCTAGAAAACTACTGTGATTATATACTAAAGTATTCTTTTTACAAGTACATAGAAAAGTTCAGATCATCTGGAATTTAAAGTGACAAACAGGAGGTCTCGATGTTCACAGAACAAACAGCTTTGAATGTTGAAGATATTATTGCCTATATTTGACCAGTTGCCTCCAGTCCTCTGCTCTGTCATGACCCT